TTCCTTTTTATGCGTTTTTGCTGTGCAGCGCTATAGCGCTGCACAGCAAAAACGCATAAAAAGGAAAATAAAAAATTTCCGTTTAACGATCTTCCCCTGAAAATGATCTAGCTCTCCAGCGAGCAATTTTCCCGCTAAAACCTTCAAGTATCCACACGTAAGAAACCACGCATACGTGGAAGATGGATTTGAAATCTTTAAGTTGTACTTGGACAGGAAGCATTCTGTCCAACCTTTAACTTTTTACCTTTTCCGGTTCCCAAGTTAACAATTTTCCCGTCAAATTTCACGGTCCCGTACGTGAGAACGACGCGAACTTAAGGGCTGAATTTGAATTAAGTTATATGTGGGCTGGGAACACCACTCTAAATTTTCAGCCTTCTAGCTTTTCTAGTTCTCGATTAAGCAATTTTCAAAACTTTCACGTGTTCGTACGCGGGGTCCAGACGTGCACGAAGGTTGGTACCGCGGCCCTAAGGTGGCAGTTGGCTGAGGGACCCAGTGGCGAAATTTTAGCGCCAAAGCTTGCTTGGTTGCGGAGTTGAGATACCCGGACAGATAGACAGAAAAAACACTCACTATGGGTCATCGTAATACGCATACATACATAAACGCATAAAAAATGCGGTAAAAACCGTAGAATGATGAAATTAGACCAAAGTGACTGTGGCAGAATCGAATGATTAAGAAAATGTTTACCTTCATCGGTGGCGACTGATGGTCAATTTTGGTAACTGCAGAAGTACTAGGTGAGAATGGATTTGCTAAAGTATGAGGTCGCGATGCCATCGCAGGAGCAGCTTGCAGAAGCATGGAATCAAAATTGAACATGGCACGCTGCACGACAGCCGGCATCGAATTGGCTTTAAAATGCCGAAAAAGCTGTGGTACACCTGAACTTGTGGACGATGCTCCCATCGCAGGCATATTCCTGAAATTGTGAAAATTCATTTTCGTTGAAAAATTCCAGACTGCTAACGATTCGGTAGCGCGTTTGTTGGTATTAAGCATACCAACGTACGAAAAAGTTACGTCGCTTCTGGCTTGCCTTCCTGATTTCCCACGAAAAAAGCATCACAAATAGGCTTCGTAATCAAGAGACACTAATCGCTATCTCATTCATTCTACATTATAAAAAATAGGATTGCCAACAAGCCGATCACGAGATGATTCAACATTCGCCAAAACAATTGGAAAAGTTGCCAGCGGCAGAGAT